GATACAAATATTAAGCAGGAATTTCAGACTATTTTACTCAAGTTTCTTAATTTAAAATACAATATTCTGATACAAATATTAAGCAGGAATTTCAGACTATTTTACTCAAGTTTCTTAATTTAAAATACAATATTCTGATACAAATATTAAGCAGGAATTCCAGACTATTTTACTCAAGTTTCTTAATTTAAAATACAATATTCTGATACAAATATTAAGCAGGAATTTCAGACTATTTTACTCAAGTTTCTTAATTTAAAATACAATATTCTGATACAAATATTAAGCAGGAATTCCAGAATATTTTACTCAAGTTTCTTAATTTAAAATACAATATTCTGATACAAATATTAAGTAGGAATTTCAGACTATTTTACTCAAGTTTCTTAATTTAAAATACAATATTCAGAGACAAAATTCAGCTCAAATGCCAATCTATGATGTTACATGCACCTTTTGTTAGTAGCATGCATCAGAGTTCTAGATAAAAATACACAGCTTCCATCTTCAGCAAATCTTTGAAAATAACAAACTGAACAATCTTTAGTATAATTACTAATATAACAATACAATGAATATTGTTGGGAAATTATAAAACATCATAACTCGTAGGCTTATCATTCCTGTCAACACTGTCTTCTTCAAGAAGAAATAAAGTTGACATATGACAGACAGAAGCAACTCGGCATACAGCTTGAAGCATGTTACTTGGAGCTTCAAAACTCTGTTTCTCAGAATGACTTCAACCTCCCCCATAATAGTATTAGCACTCTCAACTCTGAAATTTTAGTCGGTCATGAACACATACAAAACTTTATAAGTTATCTCCCTCTATTCAGCCTGATTTTTAACCTTAGTGATGTTGTACTTACTGAAACTTGCAAAAATGCTCTAGCTATAGATATAAACTTCTGCTCGTCACCATTTAAGTTAAAATCCAAGCCCCAATAGAAATTCAAACACTTTCTTCTTGCTTTATTCAAATACCTTTTTTTTTAAAATTGAATGTTTTATAATTTTCTAACACTATTCATTGTATTTTTTTTTAGTAAATATACTAAAAATTGTTCAATTCATTATTTTCATATATTTGCCGAAGATGGAATATATGTAATTCTGAAACGTTTATTAAAGATGTTTACAACTGTTGCCATGGCTCTACTGTTCATATAAGTCTTGTTTCCATATCTTATAATAATAGACTTCTGGTTGCTGGAGCAGGAGAAAGCATTTTTACACAAGACG